CAAGCATACAATAAGTACTCAGCTAATGCACAGGTAAAACTCAAATAAGAGATATAACCAGAAAGTTCAAATTAAGAACTCCGGTTGGCAAAAAGAATCAAATCGAACGAAGCAACGGAAAACAAACGGCAAAAGAAACAAGCTTCGTTTACTATTCTGGATGTAGGGTAATTTTTACAGTGGCAAAAACTTGTTTAAGTTGGTTAAACGGAAAGAGGGTTTCGAGACAAAACTCCAGGCGCTTGAATCGCCTGATGCCGATAAACGAGCGAAAAGTTAGACTAAAATGAAAATCGGATCAGAAATCGCGATCTGGAAAATCACGGATTTATTCCGAGAAAAGAAAAAACAACGAACGTTCGTTAAAACTAGCGAACGAGCGGACGCTCGCTATTTAAATAAACAGGAAAAACCGATCTATTAAAAAAACTAAAACTAAAAAAACGAATAAAACCGTCAGAAAAACCGAACGGTCTTTCGAGAAAAGCCGGCGGCGGCGAGGTCTACCTCCGGCGACGGATCCGGCGGGCGGCAGCGGCGGGCGGCGGCGGCGCGGGGCGGCGGCGGCGGTGCTAGGGCGGCGGGGCTGGGGCTGGGTGCTAGTGTTTCGGCCCGGGGCAGGCCGGCGGCTTATAAAGGCTGAGGCCGGAGGAGTCCGGACTAACACGGCCCGTAGGTCGGTTCAGTTTTTTTTAAGTTATGCTCAGAAAAAAAACAAAAGGAATACTAAACGGACTCCAAAAATCCCGAAATAAATTTTCCCCGACTCCTAAAATCAAGCCGAACAGGATGAACATTTATTTGGGTCCTAAATGCAATTTTGAAAAACGCGCATTTTTCCTAAATTCAAATAAAATAGCAAATAAAACCAGAATAACTCTTATTTGATTTATTTATTAAATCCTCAATATTTCTTTATTTTGAGAAAGTCATTTTATTCCCGCTCTCATATTTTTGTAATAGAAATAATTGAAGATAAAATAAATAAAATCAAATGATCCTATTTTCAAAATTTGAGACAACTCAAATATGAAAATAACGAAATCCCCAATTCTCTCCGAGGGTCCTTGAGTTGCGTGAAATTTCTAGGATCAACCAAAATGCGATAAATATGATATGCAATGATGCCTAGTGTATAACATTTCAAATTGAAAATTTGGGATGTTACAAACCTACCCCCTTAAGATGAATCTCGCCCTCGAGATTCGGTTTGGCTAGAAAATAGGTGAGGGTGGTCCTTCAGCAATTCTTCCTCTCACTCCCTGGTGGCTTCATCCTCCGTGTGGTGGCTCCACTGAATCTTGCAAAACTTGATAACTTTGCTGCGCGTGACTCGACTGGCGTACTCTAGAATCTTAACTGGTTTCTCCTCATAGGTCAAATCACTGTCCAACTGAAATGCTTCCAATGGTACCGTATCTCTCAACGGTATTTCAGCCATCTCTGCGTGACACTTCTTCAGCTGGGAAACGTGGAACACGTCATGAACTCCTGACAATCCTTCGGGCAATTTCAATTTGTAGGCCACTTCTCCCATACGCTCCAAAACATTGTATGGTCCTACAAAACGTGGTGCTAACTTTCCCTTAACTCCAAAGCGCTTAACTCCTCGAAGTGGTGATACTCGAAGATAAACTCGGTCTCCGACTTCGTAAACTGTCTCCTTGCGTTTAGAATCTGCATAACTCTTCTGCCTGGACTGAGCTACCTTGAGCCTATCGCGAATCAATTTCACTTTCTGTTCAGACTCCTTTATCAGATCCGGTCCAAACAACTGGCGGTCTCCAACTTCATCCCAAGACAATGGGATCCTGCACCTCCTTCTGTACAAGGCTTCGAAAGGGGTCATCTTCAAACTGGATTGATAGTTGTTGTTGTAAGAGAACTCTGCATACGGCAAATTCTCGTCCCAACTAGATCTGTAATCTAGCGCACAAGCTCTCAGCATATCCTCCAAAATCTGATTGACTCTCTCGGTGTGTCCATCTGCCTGCGGATGGAAGGCTGTGCTAAACTCCAGTCTGGTTCCCAAAGTTTCATGCAACTAATTCTAGAACTTTGAGGTAAATTGGGTTCCTCTATCTGATACAATGCTCCTTGGAACTCCATGCAGATATACAATCCTGGTCATGTATATCTTTGCCAACTTTGCACTGGTATAGGTAGTCTTCACGGGAATGAAATGAGCTACCTTTGTCAAACGATCGACTACAACCCATATCGAGTCGTAGCCTGAACGTGTTCGGGGTAATCCGGTAATAAAGTCCATGCCTAGCTTATCCCACTTCCATTCGGGTATCGGCAATGGTTGTAGCAATCCCGCTGGCTTCTGATGCTCTGCCTTTACTCTCTAACATACATCACAAACCACTACACCATAACACTTAATTGGGGGCAATTAACTGCCGGTAGAAATAGCTGATCAAGGTCAAATAAACTGCCGGGACATTTTGTACTACCGGTACAACTACCTAAGGGCATTTTAACTGCCGGTAAAACCGAAGAAACAAGGGCAATAAGACTGCCGGTAATAATGAGGGTGCAACATTTGCCGGGAGAACTACGACACGGCATGCTATCTGCCGGGGGACCATCTCTGGCGCGGGACCAAATATTTTTTTTTGAGTGGGATGGCACGGGACCAAAACAGAGTTGGGCCTAAAGCGCGCGCCAACAAGAGCACAAAAGCGAGCGAGACTTTTGGCCTGAAAAAATATAGACGCGTCGTGTCCCTCATCCAGAGACTTCGATCCAGTTCATCCCCAAATCGATCCAGACCGCATACGCCGCGAACCCTAGCCACAACCCCACCGCCGCTACCGCGCCCTCCACCACACCACCGCTGCCCCGCCTGCCCCAACCACTCCCCGCTGCTGCTGCAGACTCCGCCCTCCACACCCCACCGCTGCAGACTGCTGCCGCGGTCGACCCCACATCACAGCGCCGTCGAGGACACGGACGACACCACCAGCGCCGGCCTTCCACGTCGCGGAGCCACTCCACTGGCGACCACCCCCCTTCTCCGCGAGCTTGGTCCACACCGAGCAGGCCTTCTCCAAAGCATTGAGCGGGGCTGCCTCCTCTACGTCATCTCCCCCGAGCAGCGGAGCGTCCTCCCTCCCGCGAGCGGCTCTGTCTCCTCAGTACCCTTCCCCTAGGCAGCCACGTCATGTATTTCCTTTCACCAGTGTCCTCTTCAATAGGTGAGATTTCAACTCTTGTCTCTTTTAACATCTGAATGTGCAGCTACACATGTATGTAATCTCGAACAGTAGCACTTAACTATTCTAGCAGTTAGAACAAATCATCGTTTTTAATTATGATCTGATAATGACGAAAAAACCATGATCCAAACATCTTCAAAGGTTATTTGCATTGTTTGCAAACGGAACTTGAAAATAAAGATAGATGAACACTAGTACTATTAGTAGCCCTTCAGATCGAAGGATGGGGAAGTATGGTGATTAACAATGCATACCTTAATTAGACTCGTTGAAACCTAACTAAGTTGTTTAATCGAGGTTTCTAGTTTATTTGAATTTGAGATGAAAGAAAGCTATTTTTTTACGTCTTCAGCCCACTTGTTTAGTCCACCTAGCTAAGTTGTTTAGTTGATGCCCCAAAGTAGTAGCATCTTTGCTTGTGTTTTGTAAAATACGATATGTGGACAAACTAGGTGCTACACTTTTATGATATAGATGATGACATTCTTACTGCTATTTTGGTTTTTGTATATTCTGAATGATATGCTTCAGTTCATTATATTTTGTTGTGTGATGGCATTCCTTCTCCGTATTGTATTTCTTGTTGCCTGTAATAGATAAAGATGATATGCATTTTGTTACTAGATTTTTTTCCTTAATAAAAGTATACTTTGTTTCGCATGTTAGGCTATTTGGGTGAAATTGGTCAAGAATGGACAAGAGTTGGATGGATAAAGCTAGAAATACACAAGCATATATTGACGGGGTAAAGAAATTCATAGATTTTGCTTTTACTCATTCAGCAAGAGGGAACACTATATCATGTCCGTGTAGAAATTACCTCATGGTGCTGGAACATGACCACCACAGGGCAAGCTCAAGGGCGATGTATCTCATAGCCATACACAACCATGTGAGCTTTTGTTCTTATGATTGAATTTACCAATGACTATCATGGAGTCATGGTTGATTGCTTAAAAAGCTTTCCTTCTATGTGTGCAGTTGGAAGTGGAGAAGTCCATGGCAAAAGCAGTAATGCGACCACAAGCAAGCTGAGGAGGTAATATACATGTTTCCCTCCACTCTGTACATTAATGAAGTTTACAAAATGAGCATTTGCATGTGCACGAAATCTTCCATGGCATTCCTGTAGACTCTTTACAAATGTTTAACTCAATGCATTTTTTTGTTCTATCTGAGCATGTTCTGCCTATTTGCACATGAAAGATTTTTGACTTGGAGCTAGAATGCAGTGCTAGACTCTACTATGTACAGTACAATATTTCAGTCTGCACCCTTGATTTGGTCCTTCGATTTGTATGTTCTGTTGTGTAATTGGTCCTCCTCTCATTCTCACAGCATGCCTCCTATTCGTCCTCCGCAGCAGGCAGTGTTGTGTCGACTACGTCTGGATAGCAACTCATCTCCATCCTCGCCCCAAGCAGTGTCGCCTCACCTCTACTTCCTCGCCTAAGCGGTACCGCCTATGGTCTCCGCTTCACCGCCAATGGTGAGATTTCTTTGTTATTTTTGTCATTTAGCCATTAGTAATCTTGTAATGGGCATTGATATAGTGTTGAAATTTTCTTGGTTACTCAGCTATTTCAGATGTAAAAATGATGTTATATAGGGTTGAAATTGTGCGATTATTCTCAGGTGTTTGTTTTTGTTTCTTGAAGTCTGATTTACTCAGCAAGGAAGGGATGTGATACTGTATAATGTTTATCAGGAGCATGGTAGCCCAGTGGCAAAAGCTTCTATGTATGCAGTTGGAAGTGGATAAGTGTCAGGCTCTTCCTACAGGATGTCTACTAGTTCAGTTCTAGTCATAAACAAAGGTGATAGTTGCTTGTACTTTGCTCAGTTACTTTGATGTCAACATTTGAGTTCTACATAATATAGTTTTTTTTTTTAAAAAAAAAACTATATTATGTAGAATGATAGATTTTCCTTCCATATCATGTATAATTGATCCATTTCTTTCCATAACTATATCATGTATAATGATTGATTTCTGTTTGTAGCAATGCGACCACAAGCAAGCTTATAAGATGCATTGATTTCTGTTCTTTGTAGCCACCAGCCATCTATGATCAAAGGCCACATATTCTGCTTTAAATTGTTTATCAAGTTTTGAGTTGCTAACCACATATGCCACGTGGTTACATGCTCTGTCTTTAGGTAACACTCCCTCTGTTTATGCAGTTATGCTTTATCTGATTGGTTCAAAATAATTTGTATTGGCAATAACTCTCGGGTTTTTAATATAGTATTTTTCTGTTAGTTTTCCATATCTCAAAAATAGGGCAACATGATTTGTTATTATGTGCCGCTCTTCAAAATTTGCGGGAGATTCTTTTTTGTGAATCTGGGTCTGTCTAGGACACATCTAGATGTGACATAGTTATGTCACATCTAAGCCGATGTCCACTCTGTTTGTGGTCCATTTTTTTCCTAGTTTTTTTGTTTCTTGTTGTTGCATTATATATTTGCGGGAGCTTAGATGTGACATGCTTAAAAAACATCTAGATGTGAATAAGACAAACTGAATCTCAAAGGATACACTAGCTATTGTCTACTGGTACTAGATATGACATTTGGCCTGCTTTCCTGAATTAGTTGAGATATGGTAATATTTATCTGCTTTAGTTCAGATAAAGATGTGTTTCATGGGTTCTCTCACCTACTCATATCCAGGTTCCAGGTCCTATTTCATTACCTTAGAGTACTACTTGGCCAGCTAATGCATATCCTAGCCTCTAGTATGTAAACAATACTTGAGCTAATTGAGGAAGGCCTCTTGAGTAATATGGTTGATCTAATTATGTAATAATGATTGCTTGCTATGATGAAGTGTTACACATTTAGAAGATTTTTATTTATGTCGATGAGTTAAACTGCAGCACATCAAAATCTTCAATGTGTTAATTTAAAATCAAATGAGAGCTCCATTTGAGTTTCTGTTCTGTTGCAGGCTTCCCAAGGGTACATAAGTTGATGGAGTTGTGGAAGATCTGCAAGCTGCTGGAGGTTTGGAAGACCTACAGTTAATTTGGTCAAGTGATATATGCCTCGTTTGCTGAACCCAGAGACATTGGCAAGTTTTCCTATGCTTATTTGGTGGTTGTTTTGGTACACAAGCCATTATGTGCTCATTTTGGTTGTGTGACGCATATAAAAACATATGTACTGAACCTTTTGTAGCACGAGCTCCTTGTATATGGTCGTTTCATACATGTATCTAGAAACATGTGTATTTGGTCTGGCATGTGTAATTGAATGAAGTTTAAGGTTGATTGAAGTGTATGTATGTGCAAGTTGTGTGATCTTTCCTGATTGCCCGAGGACAATGAATGGATATTAAATCAGGTATAAGTTGCTCGATGGATGGATAATAAATTAGGTATACATTGCCTAGAACGGTTTGCTAGTGAAACATGATGTGAGGCATATTAACTGCCGGGTGAACATGTTTTTGCCGGCAGTTCCACTGCCGGTAAGTGTTTGTTCTGAAGCCATGGCCAATCTGCCGGGAGAAAACAAACTGCCGGCGTATTCACGGGTCGCGGCAGATAAACTGCCGGGAATAGTTTATCTGCTGGGAGAAGTAATCCCCGGCAGCCGTTCTTGTGGCAGTTCTATCTGCCGGGAGAAACACCATCCCGACAGTTTATCTGCCCTCTTAAGGGCTTTCTCCTGACAGATTGTATGTCATTACATCAGTGTTGTGGTTTAGTGAACTGCTACATATTCTGCAGTATCCTTCTTCATTTCGGTCCACCAGAATATATCCTTCAAATCCAAATACATCTTGGTATTTCCTGGGTGAATCGAATAGGTGAATCATGGGCCTCCTGTAAGATTAACTTCCTGATCTCCGAATCATTTGGTACATAGATACGGTCTTTAAACCATAAGGTATCGTGCTCATCCTCGCGAAATCCCTTAACTTTTCCTTTGCTCATTTTCTCCTTAATAGAAGCAATCTCCTTGTCAGTCTTTTGGGCTTCTCTGATCTTATCCATCGACGTAGACTGAATCTTCAATGCTGCTACATAGCCTTTCGGGACTATTTCCAAGCATAGCTCTCAAAGATTTTCGGCTAACTCCCTTGGTAAATCTCCCGCCATTAGGGTGTTGACATGGCTCTTACGGCTTAACGCGTCAGCTACTACATTAGCCTTGCCGGGGTGATAATGCAATTTCATATCATAGTCCATGATGAGCTCCAACCATCTCCTTTGTCTGAGGTTCAACTCCTTTTGGGTGAAAATATACTTCAAACTCTTGTGATCCGTGTACACCTCGCAATGGATTCCAATCAGAAAATGTCTCCAAGTCTTCAATGCATGCACTACGGCTGCTAACTCCAAATCATGCGTAGCATAATTCAACTCATGAGGCTTAAGCTGTCGTGAGGCATATGAAACAACTCTTCCTTCCTGCATAAGAACTGCTCCAAGTCCTCGACGTGAAGCGTCACAATACACCTCATAATCTTTGGTCTGATCCGGTAAAATCAACACTGGTGAGGTAACCAAATGTTTCTTCAACTCCTGAAAACTAGCTTCACATTCCTCAGTCCATATGAACTTGGTGTCCTTCTTCAACAACTCCGTCATAGGCTTCGCAATCTTTGAGAAATTCTCAATAAACCTTCGGTAGTATCCTGCGAGTCCAAGAAAACTCCGGATCTCTCCAACCGTGGTTGGTGCTTCCCACTTGGTCACGGTATCAACTTTAGTGGGATCTACCGCTATACCTTCTCCGGATATAACGTGTCCGAGAAATCCAACTTCCTTCAACCAAAACTCACATTTGCTAAACTTGGCATATAGTTGACGTTCTCTGAGTTTACCAAGCACCAAACGCAAATGCTCCTTATGCTCCTCTTCATTCTTCGAGTAAATCAGGATATCATCAATGAACACTACGACGAACTTATCCAAGAACTCCATAAACACTTTTTTCATCATGTTCATAAAATATGCAGGTGCGTTAGTTAGACCAAATGACATAACGGTATACTCGTACAGCCCATACCTGGTGGTAAAAGCCGTCTTGGGTATATCTTGTTCTCGAATCTTCAACTGGTGGTATCCTGATCGCAGATCGATCTTGGAAAATACCTTAGCTCCTTGCAATCGATCAAACAGATCATTGATCATCGGTAGTGGGTACTTGTTCTTGATGGTTACTTCATTCAAACCTCTATAATCAACAACCATCCTTAACGATCCATCCTTCTTTTCCACTAGAAGTACTGGCGATCCCCAAGGTGAAGAACTTGGGCGAATATATCCTTTATCTAGTAACTCCTTAATCTGCTTCTTAATCTCAACCAAATCCTTTGCGGGCATCCTATATGGTCTCTTTGATATTGGCCCTGTGCCTGGCAAAAGCTCAATCAAAAACTCAATATCTCTATCCGGTGGCATGCCTGGCAATTCCTCTGGAAATACATCCGGGAAATCCTTCACCACTAGTACTTCCTCCTGCACAACTCCTGTTAACCAATTTACTTGAGTCCTCTTTGGCACATGTCGGGATACATACTTGATCCTTCTCCCTTCTGGGGTGGCAAGCAAGATCGACTTACTAGCGCAATCGATGTTTCCACCATACCTCGACAACCAATCCATGCCTAATATCACATCCAATCCTTGTGATTCCAACACTATTAGGTCTGAGGGAAATACGTAGTTACCAATCCTTAATGGCAACCGATCACACCATAGGCTAGCCATATATTCTGCTCCAGGCGAGGTTACTAACATGGGTGACCTAAGGGCTTGGGTTGGCAGTTTATACTTATCCACAAATCCCCTTGATATGTATGAATGTGATGCACCAGTATCAAAAAGAACAAGTGCAGTAAATGACTTAACCAAAAACTTACCGATTACTGCATCCGGCTGCTCTTCAACCTCCTCCACGTTAACGTGGTTCACCTGTCCCCTATTGAAAGGGTTCGGCTTCTTCCCAGAGCTTCCATTGCCATTTCCATACTGTGATTCAGGACATTCATTGGCATAATGTCCGGTCTTCTGGCACTTAAAGCAAGTGACTTGGCTCAGGTCTCTCTTGGCTGGGGTCGATGGGTTGGTGCGGTTCTGGCCGTTACCTCCTCCATTCCCATTACCATTCTTGGTGCCATTGTGATTGTGCGAGCTACCTCCTCCATGGGTATGCTGAAAATGTCCTCCCGGTCTAGGGGTGAAACGTGGCTTCTACTGAGCTCCTTAAGTGTACTTCCCTTGTCCATACTTCCTCTTGCGATTCTCAATCTGCTGATGCTTCCCTTCAATCATGAGAGCACGATCTACCAACTCCTGGTAGTTGTTGAAGGTTGCTACCATCAACTGCATGCTCAACTCATCATTCAGTCCTTCCAGAAACTTCTCCTGCTTAGCTACATCCGTAGCAACATCATCTAGGGCATAACGTGCTAATTTACTAAAGTCCTCCACATACCGGCCAACAGTCCGTCCTCCTTGGCGCAAGTTGCGAAACTCTCGCTTCTTTATAGCCATAGCTCCTGCTAAAACATGGGCAGTTCGAAAAGCCTGCTGAAACTGGTCCCACGTGATAGTGTCTACAGGAAAAGTGGCTATGAAATTCTCCCACCATGATGCTGCGGGTCCTTCAAGATGGTGTGCGGCAAACTTCACCTTTTCAGCATCCGTGCATCCTGCTGTGGTCAACTCCCTAGCTGTCTTGCGGAGCCAATCATCTGCTACTATCGGCTCGGTGCTACTAGAAAACACCGGCGGATTCAGCCTAAGAAAACGGCTAAGTGATCAACATGTGGTGGTGGTGGGTTGTTGTTGTTGTTCCCCTGATTCTGATTCTGGACTAGCAACTTCATCAACGTGTTCTGCTGCTGGATCAACTGGGCGAGCTCCGGTGGAAAGGTAAATCCGGGGTCACGTCTCAGAGGCATCTGAGGGTTTAGAAAAGATGAGATTTAAGAATAGAGAGGGGTCTATAGAGAAAACACTACCCATATGCACATGAGGCAAAACAAACAATTCACTTCATTCAAACAATCAAACAAGGGCATACAAACGATCTATCTATCGCAAAAGTGATCGGACTACTATATTTACATGATGGTCTACTACTACTGATGAGGTGGTCTACTAGAAATATTCTTCGGTTGCAGACTCCATTATATCTGCTCCTACTTCATCCACATAGTCATCATCGCTATCATATGGATCTGAGTCGGTGTCGTCGATGATGATGTAGTCTTTCGGGCGAATCTCCTTGGGTTCTTCGTCTTCTTCTACTGGTGTAGGGCCTCCCATGAATATTTCGATCTTCTTGGTCAGATCGTCATTCTTCTCCACTAATACTTCTATTTCCTCTTCATAATCTTCACGTGTAGCCTTGAGCTCTTCCTCCATTTCCTTGATTCTTGTCCTTGCCTTCTTCAGATCTATCATGTCGGCGCACATCTGGTTCTCCTGACGTCGAAGGTGCTGGGTTAACTCCTGGATAAAAGCTGCAACTGATCTATCCTTTCTGGTGCTGATCATCTCCCAGTGCTCATCTCGGCGCCCACAAATCTGGTAGATAGTATCCTTAAGATCATTGCGGTAGACTTCTCCAATGCGTCCCATGGCGATGTGAGCTGCCATGCTCTTTCCTAGACTCCAAGTTGGTGCATCAAAAGAAAACTCTATGGGCTCAGTGACTGGCATGAACGTCCTTCCTGGAACTTGAATTTGAATCATCCAGCGCTCCTCTTCAGGTAAAGTGGCGTTGTAGGTTCCGGTGAAGCTTGGTACTCCTATGTTCAGGTATCTAGTGACTTCCTTCAAGTGACGTCCAAAGAGTGTATCTTCATCTAGTTGCGTGAACTTGTTCCTTGCATCCGCCATCCTAAAAGAGTAGAAAAGATGAGAAGTTAGAAAAGAGAGGAGAGTGAGTAGGGATCTAGGTCTTTAGCTTAGTGGCCATGTCCTACAGTCAGCGTGTGCTCTGATACCATCTTGTAGAGACCAGACCTCAAACGGTCCAATCTCTGTGCTCAGGTGTCATCCCTGGATCAGTAATGCTGACACTACACAGTACTTGAAGGATTTATAATAGAGTAGCTATCACACACTTATTACATCGAGTGTCTCAAAAGAGAACTTATTACAATAAATATGGCTTAAGGCCATCTAATAACGATAA